GTAGTACATTCTTTAAAAGGCTAGGAAAATGTTGATATAATCTAATAGTAAAAATTAAGAAGAAACCTATTTGTTTAGAAGAATTTTTTTTTTTTTGCAGTCAGCGTTTCAGTTGAGATGAGATTCACCCCTGCCAGTGCTTAAGACTTTACTGTTCTAAGTGTGGTCCAGCAGCAGCAGCAGCAGCATCCCCTGAAAATTTGGCCAATGCAGAATCTCACTCCAGGATCCCACTCCAAAGCTACAGAACCACAATCTGCATTTTAAAAAGATCCCCACCTGATTTGTATATACAATAAAATTTTAAAAGAAAATACCAATGTGCAAAGTTCCTACTTTCAGAAATTCTATCAGGAAAATTAGTAGGTTTAATCTTACTGGAAGTAAAAATTAAACTACTCATTTCGGAAAGGTATGTAAATGGTGTGACATTTGCCATGTGATTAAGTATATCTGAAGTGGTCCCCTCCAGCATTTGTGTCTCATGGTGGATTCTAGGGCTTCCACCATTGCACAATATCCCAGTCTTGCTCAGTAAGTATCTTGTAGTCTCTCCCCGCTTTTCAGGTTTTGCGTTCAGTTCACATTCTCAGTATAACTCCCAATTATGTGGAACACTAACACTGTATGATAAAGAGCCTACAAGTGGGTGGGAAAGAGGGAGTTTTCTTAGCCTTGGGTCCTCCCATGTTCTTCTACAGTTAAAAGACACCAAGTCTACATTTTGATCACTCCACTCCTTGGCTGAATCTACTGTATACAAATTGTGCCATGTTTGAGGAGTGAGAGAATTCATAGCTTTTGTATCTTCTTCCTGGAAACATCAGGGATGATTTAGATTATACTTTACTGTTCATCCCTTGCAGAGTATTTCTAGATTCCTTTTAGCAGCAGGATTTCACAATAATCATGAAAATCCCATAAAGTACATGACATTATGTGATTTTCAAAATCTGATTTCTTATGTTCACATGGTGAACTATTTTAAGACTATAGTAAAGTATCCCCATCAGCATATACTACAAAAAATAGGATCTCAGAGTGAGCAAAGAGGATTAAGTAAAGCATCAGTTGACTTTTATAGTCAAAAGAAAAAAAATACCCCTGTGGAGGAAATGATAATGATGTTCCTTATAATTGTTGTGAGAAAAAAATCTACCACCAACTCTAAGAAAGTTATAACCGGCCTAATTAATGTTCGAATTGTTCCTCCTGAGAAACAGACTTTTTTTCTAATGTAAATGGGCTTCCTAGAAAATGTTCTTGTTCATATTTAGTAGTTATTCTATACTCTTTTCTACATTGTACTAACATGCGGCATTTGAGAATAGAAAATGAAGGGGTTTTTGTTTCTGCATTTTGGTTTTGGCTTGCTGTTATTCTTACTCATACTGTACAAGTAAGAAGGTAAATTGAAAACACTGACAATTTTTTTCTAAAAGCGTGGATTTTTCAAAACCAGAGCTATATTTCAGTTGAAGATAACCTGATTAAATTTTTAAAAACATATGTGTTTGGTCCATGCAATAGGTGTAGAAAGGTATTTGTAGTTATATTAAAAGTTGTTCCTCCCTTATCTAGGTCATATTGTATTGTATGGTCAGGAATTCTGGTGCCACCACTTTCTAACCATGGGGCCTGGAGCAAGTCATTTAACTTTCCTAAGACTCAGTTTCCTCATCTGTAAAATGGGGCTGAAAATTAAACCTATCTTTTAGGGTTATCTTGAGGACTAAAGAAGATAATATATTTAAAAGTGCTAACAAAGTGCCTGGCCCATAAGAAGAGCCCACATCATGTTAGATATTGCATTGTTTCATTCTTATCACATAGTCATTCAGCCAATTTTGACAGAAATCTCATACACAGAAATCAGTCTGTCCTATTCTGAAATGTAAAATAACTGTATATCCTTAAAACATAATTATTTTTATTCTTTAAAAAAATAAAATGTGGGCCAAGCATGGAGGTTCACGCCTGTAATCCCAGCATTTGGGGGAGGCCAGGTGGGTGGATAGCTTGAGCTCAGGAGTTTGAGAACAGCCTGGGCCATATGGCAGAACCTCATCTCTATAAGAAAAAAACGTTAAATAAATAAGTAAATACCAAAAAATTACCCAAGCATGGTGGTGTGTGCCTGTAGTCCTAGCTACTCGAGAAGCTGAGGTGAGAGGATCGCTTGAGCTCAGGAGGTTGAGGCTACACTGAGCTATGATTGCATCACTGCACTCCAGCCTGGGTGACAGAGCAAGTCTCTGTCTCAGAAATAAAAGTAAAAAGCAAAATGCAAAACCCTGTAACCTATACCCCGAGCTTGCCTCTTCCTCTTACAGGAGCCAAACATCTTATAAACATGACCTGGCTGCATATCTTTAGTTCATCATCCCTCATCCATTCCTCAGCCTACCAAAAAAACCCGGCTTCTACTCCATAGCAGATCTCTCCTATAAAGGTAGACGTTATCTGGTATATTGCCGAGTGCTACATCCAGTCATCACTTTAAGCTCTGATATTCCTGTGCTTTCTGCATCTGCAGCACCTGACTTAACTCTCTTAGATCTCTTCTGTTTGGTGTCCCTCATGATCATCTCCCTTAACCTTCCTTTTAAGTGCTAGCATTCCCAGAATTTCATACTTGGCCTTTTTTTTAAGGAACATATCATGGAATCACTTACCACTCCTTGCTGAGAACTCCTAGGCGCACATATATATATCTCCTAGTATGCATACCTCCTAGTATGTTTTCAATAAAGTCACTCAACCAACCTAGCAACAATGAGGTATCAGGTAGCATGCTAGGCACAAGGCTTACAATAAAATGTATTTAATCAAAGACCCAAAAGGCTTTAAGAGTCTTTGAAATAGAATCTTCTTATTCTGTTTTCATGCATTTCCTTCATTTTCATTCATGCATGACATGATTTTTCTTTGTTGGCTACCATTGCCAGACACCCTGGTATATACCAGATATTCAATGCCTGGGAAAATAGGATAGAAATGAGTTTTTCTTTGCTCAGTGTTGTTTTAATCGTTGCTTCATTGGTTGAATTTGAAATATAAATTAGGAAGAATGTTGAATCCGTGTTGTAAATTTTGAATTTGATGTGATGTTGGGCCATGTTGATGAAGAGGTTCTACAGGAGAAGTTGTGAATGAATCTCTGGAGTCTACATGTGATATCATAATTGGAGGGATATCTTTGGAAATAATCAACCTACAAGCAGTTATCTAAATCCACATTCTTCAAGCTTTAACTTAAATCCCAGCCACAATCACAGAATCCCCAGGGGTTTTTTAGTGGAAGAACTTTAATTTCTCTGATTCACACTTCCTTAACTCCAGAATTTTTTATTTTAGTTTTCTTTTCTTTTTAATCATTTGTAATAGTCCATTCTCATGCTGCTAATAAAGATGTACCTGAGGCCAGGCATAGTGGGTCACGCCTGTAATCCCAGCACTTTGGGAGGCTGAGGCAGGTGGATCACAGAGTCAAGAGATTGAGACCATCCTGGCCAGCATGGTGAAACCCCGTCTCTACTAAAAATACAAAAATTAGCTGGATGTGGTGGTGTGTGCCTGTCATCCCAGTTACTCGAGAGGCTGAGGCAGGAGAATCACTTGAACCCAGGAGGTGGAGGTTGCAGTGAGCCAGGATCATACCGCTGCATTCCAGAAAAAAAAAAAAAATAATATATATATTATATAACCTATAATATACAACACACACACACACCATCATCCCACCGAGACTACGTAAGTTATAAACGAAGGGTTGAAATTGGACGAAGACAGTTCAACATTTCTGGGGATGCCTCAGGAAACTTAAAATCATAGCAGAAGGGGAAGCAGGCATATCCTTCATCACATGGTGGCAGGAAGGAGAAGTGCCAAGCAAAAGGGGAAAAGCCCCTTATAAAACCATCGGATTGTGTGAGAGCTCACTCACCATCACGAGAACAGCATGGAGATAACCACTCCCATGATTCAGTTACCCCCACCAGGTCCCTCCTACTGCACGTGGGGATTGTGGGAACTATACTTGAAGATGAGATTTGAGTGGGAACACAGCCAAACCATATCATCATTATTCTCTCATCATATATTTGTGGAGAGCAGACTAACTGACAAACACTGTCCTAGTCACTGGGGATAATATAGTGACCAAAATAAATTCAGTTCTTCCCTTCTGAAACTTTGGTCTAATTGGGAAGTGAGTTGTCAACTAAATAATCATGCAATAATTAGAAGTTAAAAAGGTCTGATTAAAAGAAGGCCATAGTCTATTCTGGACTCCTGGAGGCCTCCTTGAAGAAGGGACATTTGCCATGGACCTGAGGAATGGTGGGTAGTTAGCCATGTGTGGAAAAGAAAGGCCTTCTAGCCAGTGAGAAGGCCTTGTGAAAAGATCCTAAGGCAAGGAAAGACTATGGCTTTTTTTTTTTCTTTCTTTTTTTTGGAAGAGAGGAAAGACTTGGGTGACTGGATCATAGTTGACAACAAGGAGAACAATAGCAGATGAGGAGGGAGACAGAGGCAGGGGTAAGTGATGGTCAAGTTAAATGAATGAACAGCAGTCCAGCCTCAGTCTGACCACCTTCAGACATGAGAACTGCCTGCAGGCAGCACATCCCAATGGAGGGACAATGAGAATTGAAATTGTCCTTTATTATGTTGTGCCAAATTTGACTCCTTGAGCCTGACATATAATAAACTGTACCTATTTAAAGTATACAACCTAATAAATTTTGGAACTTGTATATACCTGTGACACCATTACCATTGCAAGTTTATGAAAATGTTCATTGTCCCTGGATGTTTCCTTGTGTTCCTTTTCGGTCCATTCCTCCCCACCACCCCCACCTCCAGACAGCGACTGATCCATCATGCCTCAAACAGTGCCTGGGACATAAAATAAATATTTGTTGAATCAAATAAAAGTGAATTTGTTTGGAGAATTATCTCTTGGTTTGACACTTGGTTGACTGCTCCGTCTTTTCTAGGTATGCAGTGCCATTCAGAATCAGGATTTCACTGTGATCGAAGACTACTGCACTGGCCTCAAAGCCCTGCTTTATCTGAAAAGCATTGAAGAATTACAAGACTGGGATGGACAGAGTCCAGCTACTGTGAGTCACCAGAAAGGGAAACCAGTTCCACGTATAGCTGAACTCATGGACAAGGTATGTGCTTAAATCTCCTGTGTTATTCCTGAGAATTCAGCCTTGGTCAGTTTCTATTTCAGATCTTATTTACCATCTCACATTCTCACTAACAAAGGAAACACAGTGCCTGGTGGATGTGATTTCCTCAGTGTACTCTTTCTGAAGGAGACTTGATTACAGGCGTATGATGGGTCTGTGAGTTACCTTTTTATAAAACCAATACAACACAGAATTATATAAAAGGAAAAGACTGAAGTTTGCAGTGTAAAGTGCCTCCAAATTCTTGCTTACTGTGGTGATGACTGGCATTCTTTCCAGTAGGAGTCTGGAGATTTCTTTATGCTTTCTGGAAATTATAATATTACCTTTCTATTTTCAAGACAATCAAATCACTGTAGTCTTGAATAATGTAAGGAAGTTTTTAAAATTAAAATCTAATCAGTATCTTTTGTAACTCCTTCTGCTGTGTTGTTAAACCTGGGCTCAAAAGGTTATGTCCCAACTTTCTCACTAACTGCTATTTTCCAAGAAATATACACTACATTTACATTTTCTATAATACAGTGATTTTAGCAACTCTGCTAAAACAACATTCAGCATTTTGCTTTTGTATTTCCTTTGTATTATTCTAAATAGACAACCATTGTCAGAAGACATTTCTTGAGCCCTCAATGAAGGGAGGAAAAAATTATAATTCTTAGTCTTTTCAGCTTGTCACTACATCAATAATTAACTTTTAAAAAAGAGAGGCAGTATAAAAAGATTCTTTAAGGAAGCATTTAATAATTCAAATGAATCTTAACTTGAAGCAGGTCACATGAAAAAGAATGGAAAACAAAAGCCCTGGGTACTGTGCCTTGGATGACTGGGTTAGGGACTCAGAAAGAATAAGAGAAACATCATATAATTGACTTATATTTGGCTAGCTTTAGCAGAAAATATCACTTTCCCTCTCCCAACAGATAGCAAAAAAAAAAAAAACAGAAAAAAAAACCTTCTTCAAGAGTAATGTGTATGATTGCAAGTCCAGTAATGAAAAAAAAAAAAAAGGAGGAAAAAAATAAAATCTTACAATGTGGGTTCCAGGAAAATGTCATGATGAATGACTCCATAAGTGGCAATCAAACAGAAAGACTCTGACATTAATATTTATAATATTGTAATTAGCAAGATAGTGCCTAAGCAGCATTATTAGTGTAACTAATCATATTATCATAAACTGACTCTGCAGTATTTAGACAGTGAATGTTCTTGCCTTTATCAATGACTATCAATATCCTAAGGTTGTTTATAACTAAAAAAATTCACAAATGGCTTTACATTCATTCAATGTAAATATCTCAAGGAAATTGTCTCTGACATGATAGTTTATGACCATCTATAAAATCATTGTCTCAAATTTGGGTGGTTGCCATGTGAGCTGAAATGTAAGTAGCTGCATTGCACTGTCATGTTTTGTCTTTAAAGGATTTTCACACTCATTTCAAAACTTACATACTCAAATAAAAGATGGGTAATGATGAAGGCACTTGTGTCAATGACATAAATGGAAATTGATTTGGTAATAGTTTGAATCGAGATTCAGACTTTATTTTGTCAAGCTCAGCTTTCATCAGAATTGTAAGTGTAATTTTCAGCATTATCATTTGTTAAAAAAAAAAAAGCAAGATTTTTCTATGTGATTGTATTAGTGATTCATTTCTCAACACTAACTTGAGGAATAAGCAGATGGTCTGGTAAGAGATTTATGCTTCTGGATTCTCCAATGCAGGCTGACATGACTAAAACAATAGATGATTATTCCCTTTAGATTAATATCCCTAATAGTGAATCAAAGTACTCTGGATCTAGGATACAGGTGATTTCCTAATTGTTCTCTCTTAATGTTGCTGCTGCTTTTTTGTGTGTGTGTGTGTATGTATGTGCATGTGTGTGTGTGTGTGTGTGTCTTTGAAAATAACTCATATTGTCCTTTCATTAGCTAAAGAATAGTATGGTGGTCCTCACAGTGTCTGCATACTATAAGGAGATGAGAGAAAATGTAGACCCTTTGTAGAAAGACACTCTAGAAGTATCTGGCTTCTTTACACAGGAAAATTTTGTTTGGAAAGTACAATTGCTACCCTGATATTCACTCATAGGTCAGGCTACAATAAACCAGAATAGATATTTAGAAGAAACCCATTACAGTGCAGTGTTTGACAATGGAGAGAAAATGAGACTTGGGCTATGGAAACAAGGATTTGGCCAAGTATGTCATGTTATCTTTCAAGTAATTAACATATTAATATACTCTCCTTATGCTTACCTTACTTATTAACTGATTAAACTACCATAGCAGTGTTTCTTCAGGTGGCTGTTGAAGGGCAGGTAGTTAGATTTTAGTAGACTTATGATGCAAGCCATTTTAATCTGTGCCTGCAAGAAGAGCAAATTCCTGAGAAGAACCATCATCAGCTTTGGCACAACACAGAGCTGTTGATGTCAAATTCTTGGTGCTTGAAAAACATGCAGCATGCTCGTGAGATATGTAGGTTCCCAGGCCTCACCAGCATTGACCCTGAGTCAGTGGGTCAGAGGTGTGTTGAGAATCTGCATTTTAACATCGTAATTCTCATGGAGGGATCAAAAAATCTGCATTGTCAGAAGGAATGAAAAAGAGAATAGCAATAGAAAAGTGAGAGATTGAGAAGTCAGCAATGAGCAGAACACAAGCTTCTCTTGATGGAGAAAGTAAACAATAAATAATTTTGAGTTGGAAAAGAAGTGAAATAAAAGAGGCAGGAGAGGAATGCCAGAGAAGCATCACACTCGGTTCCGAATGGCCAGAGGTTGGAAATACCCAATGGAGAAACTGCATGTAGGACAGCGGTTATTAGCAAAGAGTAAGACTGCTGGGTTTATGTAAAGCTTCCTTATTAGCTAGACAACTTGGGCAAGTTACTTAATCTCTCTAAACCTTTTTTATAAAACTGTACAATGAAAATAATTACAATACAGTTCCATAATCCCTCATTAACAATTCTGAAATTCAAAAAATGCTGAAACCAAATGGTTTTACATAATTCATTCGGCAGAAAACCTGGCCTGAACTGATGTGAGACTTGCTATAATCTTTATTCCTTTTAGAGAACATTTAAGTGTTTACTACAGAGAGATTAATGTGCTTGATTCCAGATTGTTACCCCACACCTTGCTGGGGCTGGAGAGGGAGTGTTTGTTAAAATTTGGTATATGTACCATTTTACTTTTCTAAAATCCAAAAGATATTTTTAAATCCATACATCTGGCTACAAAGGTTTTAACTATGGGCTTGTGACGATTACTAAAATGAAAATATAATTGCAAATACAACTTTATCCAGAAATGCATCTATAGAGTTGGAGGCAATGTATATATTTTAGTGATTTTAGAAAATAAAATATTAGTATTTGGAACTTTTAGTTATGGGAAATAAGAGTTATGTTGACATTCTTGCTAAGAAACATGAAAGAAATTGAACAGTCCAATATTTGAACAGCAAATTTTACAACTGGAATAGCATGGAAGAAAATGTATTCACTGTTTGGTGCTTGGGATGAGAACAGGACTCCTAAATACCAGTTGTGAAAGAAAAACAGCAGAGGCCAAAAACTAATGATCACTTGGGATCTGCATGCATTTCTACACACTGTTCCTGACATCTGGAATGGCCTTCCAGTTCTTAAGCATCACTTTCTCTTTGAGCTATCCCCTGACCTTTACAATAGAATTAATGTCTCCTTCTCTTTTTGAACCTTAGTTGTAACCAGTATCACATTGCAGTTGTATTTTTGTAAGTCCTCTTCATTTACTAGAAAATAACCTCACTTTTCTTATCCATCTTTGTATGCCAGTTCCCTAGACATGCACTGAACACGGTAATGCCTTAATAAACATTGACTGAAGAAGTGAATTAATGACTACATGAATGTTGAAAGAAAAAAGCTTATTGGTAACATTAAGAATTAGTAGTCACTTGACTTACCAAACCATTACTTTTTCCGTTACATCAGAAATGAAAAGAATGTGTAAAGAAACAACCTTTGAACTTAAAGTTCCTTTTTATGTGTGAGTCTAGTTTGGTAAAAATAACATGGAAAAAGTCAGAATAGAAGGAGTGAGATAGACAGGTGAGCAACCTTTATGCCTTCTTGACTTGGCAAAATATGCCTAGATTATAAGCTTCTTGAGGGCCTAGAACCCGGGCTGTGTGCCAGTGCCTAACGCAATGTCTGCCATGTAGGAGTAATGGCATGGTAGCTGAATTGAACATACTGATCAATCATTAATATATTTTTAGGATCTACCTTAAATGTTGCTTCTTTTGGAAGGCTGTCTATGACCCTCTTCCTTGGCCTCCAGGAAAGTCAAATCACTCCTTTTCTTTTTCTTACAGCCCATGGTTCCTATAGCTAGTATTGCAAGTACTGCATTTTCTTTTAATTGTACATCTTCTTGTCCATTGCTGCAGGTCATTACAAGCATTTTGAAAGAAAGATAATATCTTATTCATACTGGAGTTTTGAAGCACCTAACACAATGCTACATGCTTATAGAATTAAATTGCATGAATTACCTGTTGTGTCCTTATTTAGGAGGAAAAAAGAAAGCCAATGTATAATTAAAATTCCAGCTAGATCCTTTTAAGAATAGCAGCAGTCATTTTAGAAGAAAACAATAAACCTGCCAAATTGCTGTACTTTCAGTAGGTATTTAAAAATGATGAAATACATATTGGTGATATTAATAAATGAACATAATCTGTACTCATTAAGAGGCTCTCATTAGGTTAAAATCAGAAATGCTGCTGTCATGGTGGTTGTACAGCAACTCTGAAAACAAGAATTTGTTTTGATAATAGAAACCAAAATTATATCCATATGACCAGATACATCATTCTCAGTTATTGATAAAACAATTCTAAAATTCATATGGAACCAAAAAAGAGTCCAAATAGCCAAAGCAAATTTGACAAAAAGAACAAAGCTGGAGTCATC